AGGTGTATCTCTCGTTGGTAAGACACTGGCTGTCATGGGTTTTGGCAAGGTTGGATCAGAGGTTGCTAGGCGTGCCAAGGGACTCGGTATGCATGTCATTGCACACGATCCGTATGCCCCAGCTGACCGTGCCCGTGCAATAGGGGTAGAGCTTGTCAGCTTTGACCAGGCTATTGCATCTGCCGACTTCATCTCTCTTCACATGCCTCTTACTGCTGCTACATCGAAAGTTCTAAATGACGAGACTTTTGCAAAGATGAAAAAGGGGGTCAGAATCGTGAACGTTGCGCGTGGGGGTGTGATTGACGAGGAGGCTTTAGTGAGGGCGATTGATGCTGGCATTGTTGCTCAGGTTCTTGCCTTCATCCTTGAAAAAAATAAAAAAAGATGCCGCTTATGAATGTGTTTAGTTTTAATAGTTATGGAAAAGAAGTCTTTTTGCGGATACTTTTGATTTTTTAATGTTGCGGATGTGAAAGTGGCTGGGAATCATAAGTTGGTAGTGTTTGCGAAATATGAATTAAAAGATGATTAAAAAGCTGGCATTGTTGCTCAGGTTCTTGCCTTCATCCTTGAAAAAAATAAAAAAAGATGACGCTTATGAATGTGTTTAGTTTTAATAGTTATGGAAAAGAAGTCTTTTTGCGGATACTTTTGTTTTTTAATGTTGCGGATGTGAAAGTGGCTGGGAATCATAAGTTGGTAGTGTTTGCGAAATATGAATTAAAAGATGATTAAAAAGTTACGCAGAGATTGTTTCAGCTGAGAAGTCGCAAAGTGTGTGAATCAAAATATGAATACTCTTGCTTTTCAATTACGTTTAAAAAGAAGCAAAATTATCAGTTTGTGAATGATAAATGTGAAGTTTTCAAGCTAAAACCCTGAATCACTTTATCTCCTTTGCATGAGTGAGTGTAAGCACTCGTTTAGTGGGGGCATGGGTGCAACTATTGTTTCTGAAATAATAACTACTGTTTTACTGTATCATTGCTATACAGGCGGCCCTTGATGTCTTCACCGAAGAGCCACCACCTAAAGACAGCAAGCTGGTACACCATGAGAATGTCATTGCAACCCCACATCTAGGTGCCAGCACTACAGAAGCTCAGGTTTGGAAGATTAACGCTCAACTAATTCCCATCTGCTTGTGCTTCAAACATTTGCGTGATTCTGTTTCAATATATTTGCAGGAAGGAGTAGCCATTGAAATAGCTGAAGCTGTTGTTGGAGCATTGAAAGGGGAGCTGTCAGCTACTGCTGTAAATGCACCCATGGTTCCTGCTCAGGTTCACTTAAATTAGCTGCAGTCCGATTTTCTCTAAATTCTTAAATTGAAATACATTACCATCTGATTGATACCTGCAAATAATTGAACTTTACTGCAGTATTCTTAAATTCCCTTGACCGGTTCGCACGTTTCTGGTTGTAGACTGACATTGCATTATTTTCTTCTAAATTCCCAAAAAATCTCTCAGGTTCTAACCGAGCTGAAGCCCTATGTCGCCCTCGCAGAGAAGCTCGGCCGCCTGGCTGTCCAGCTCGTTGCCGGAGGCAACGGCGTGAAAACCGTCAAAGTCACCTACGCCTCCGGCCGAGCCCCCGACGACCTCGACACTCGTCTCCTCCGTGCCATGATCACCAAAGGCCTAATCGAGCCCATCTCTAGCTCCTTCGTCAACCTCGTCAATGCCGACTTCACCGCAAAACAAAGGGGCCTCCGCATAACCGAAGAACGTGTCGTCCTCGACGCGTCCCCCGAGAGCCCGGTCGAGCTCATCCAGCTCCGGATTGCTGACGTAGAGTCCAAGTTCCCGAGCGCTATATCCGAGTCGGGTGAGATTAAGGTTGAGGGAAGGGTGAAGGATGGAATTCCGCACCTGACGAGAGTGGGGTCGTTCGAAGTGGACGTGAGCTTGGAAGGGAGTATTATATTATGCAGCCAGGTGGACCAGCCGGGGATGATTGGGAACGTGGGTCGAATCTTGGGGGAGGAAAATGTGAATGTGAGCTTTATGAGTGTGGGGAGGATTGCGCCGAGGAAGCAGGCGGTGATGGCGATTGGGGTGGACGAGGAGCCGAGCAAGGAGTCGCTGACGAGGATCGGCGAGATCCCGGCTATCGAGGAGTTTGTTTATCTCAAGCTGTAGTGTAATATGGCTTTGCGCTGCTGCAGTATTGTTTTTAGGAGTTTTTTTTTTTAGCTTGTGGAGAAGAGAATAAAGAAAGATTTGGCCTGGTTGGTATTCGGACGTTGGTGTGTTAAATTTTGGGATCTGAGTTACGTGGCTAGTCGTCTTTACTTAGAAGTGGACTGGAAATCTTGATGTTTTATGTTTTATTATCAAGCATTGTGTTGACATGCATGCAGTGACCGGTTTTATTTCATGCAGACCGGTTCTCTTCCTTTATTGTTTTTCGGTTCTTTTGTGTTGATGAGAAAAACGCAGAACACTTATATAATCGTGTAGCGTTTCTTTTATTTGGATGATGTTTTAGTTTTTCTTTTATTTTCCCTCGCACGTGTCAAGTGATGTGAGGTGAGTTTAGCTGAGGGTTTTCTTATGGTCTGTAATCGTCTTCTTCTTTTGGATCTGAACTTGTAAGCTTTGAGCTAAGAAAAATGGTGGTTTGAGAAATTTATTTGCCCTCGTTTACTTTATACATTTCAGATATTTTGATTTCTACATGGTATCAAGAGCAGGTCGATTTCATCATACTTAATGGCGCACAGAGATGAGCAGGCCAGAGACATCGTACGCAGTGCTTACTCGAGAGACATCGATCCTTTGTCTCTCCATAGATCTGACAGTCCTGGATTGGTATTGGTCACAAACCAACTCATAGGAGCCAACTACTTGCACTGGAGCCGCGCAATGAAGCTAGCTTTAGCAGCAAAGTCGAAGCTCGGATTCATCAATGGCTCAGTAGAAATTCCGGAACAAGGTACAGATGATTACATCCAGTATCACAAAGTGGAATCTATGGTAATATCTTGGTTACTGAATTCGATTTCGAAAGAGATTGTTGAGGCTTTCATGTATGTTAAATCTGCTAAACAACTATGGGATGAATTGGCCGAGAGATATGGTGATAGCAATGGACCTCTCAAGTATCAGTTGCAAAAGGAGATAACAAATTTTTCTCAAGGTTCACTTACAGTCACAACCTATTTTACCAAGTTAAAGTGTCTGTGGGATGAGTATACTTGTCTCATAGCACTACCAGAATGTGTGTGTGGCTCGAGTAAAGCTTTTTCTGAAAATGATATGGAAATTAAACTCATACAATTTCTTATGGGTCTGAATGAAGTATTTGAGCCTGTTAAGAACCAAATCTTACTGATGGATCCCCTTCCTACTGTCAACAAAGCTTATTCAATGATATTGAAGGTGGAAAAACAAAAGAATGTGGTGACAGGTTTGATGAATCCTTTGGAAACCTCAGCAATGCTTGCAAGAGGAAACTATGGGAGAGGAGCAGTTTTTGGCCGTGGAAATACTGGGAGAGGACAAGGAGCACAGTTCTTTAATAATACAGGGAGGGGTAGAGGAACACCAAGGTTGTCCAAAGAAGAAAGAGCCAAGCTATTCTGTACACACTGTGGGTATAGTGGACATGATGTACAAGGCTGTTTCAAACTAAATGGATATCCAGATTGGTACAAGGAACTCAGACAACAAAGACAAGGGCAGAATGTTAACATGGTAGAAGGAGATGATACCTCAAAGTCAGATTCTGAGGTTAAGTCTCAACACAGTGACACCTTGCCAGATATTGGAGCATTAGCAAAGGAAGTGGCCAAATATATTTCAATGCAACAGGAAGCAGAAACTCATACTTTCTCACATCTGGTGGAATCCACAGTTGGCACAGAAGGTTATGTTTTCTCCTTGTTTAGCAAGTTAAATAAAGGAAGCTGGATTGTTGATACTGGGGCCAACAAACATATTTGCTCCAATCTTAATTTGGTTACTCACAGTTCTGATATTGCTGTACCTGTGATAGTTAACTTACCTGATGGTTCAAGGTTTGAAGTTACAAAAATTAGGGAAGTACAATTAAATGGTGTGATATTGCTCAAAAATGTTTTGTTGATACCAGAATTCAAATACAACTTATTATCTGTGGGGCAATTGATAGAGGACAATGGTTTAAGTTTCAGTTTCACAAGCAAGGGTTGCAAGCTCTTTGATGATAAGAAAGGATCAGTCATTGTTGAAGGAAGAATTATGGCAGGGTTGTACATCATAGAGGGGCAAGATCACTATGCCAATGCAGTGGATAATATGGAATCTCAGAACAAGAAAATTGACCTTTGGCACAAGAGGCTGGGACACAGCTCAGTGACTGCTCTTAAGCATCTCAGTTTTCTGAAGAATGATTTTGTGAACCAAAATCTGAGTCCATGTGACATATGCCACAGATCAAAGCAATGCAGGGTACCTTTTCCTATAAGTCATATTCAAAGTAAAAGGAGATTTGATCTGATCCACATAGATGTTTGGGGACCATACCTTGAGAGATCAATCACAAATGCAGCATATATGTTGACCATAGTGGATGATTACACTAGAGCCACATGGATATTTCTTATGAAGTACAAGTCAGAGACATGTGGTCATATAAAGTTCTTCTTAAACATGGTGGAAGTTCATTTTGATGAGAAAGTTAAGAAGATAAGGTCAGATAATGGGTCAGAGTTTATCAACAAGGAGGTGGCTGAGTTGTTAAAGGACAAAGGGATAATCCATCATAGGTCTTGTCCATATACTCCACAACAAAATGGAGTAGTTGAAAGGAAGCACAGAACTATATTGGAGGTGGCAAGATCCATTTCTTTTCAAGCAAACCTGCAGAGAGATTTGTGGCCTTACAGTCTGTTAGTTGCAGTCCAAATTCTCAACATTTTGCCTAGTGAGAAATTAGGTTGGAAAAGCCCTTATGAGATGCTTCATGGAACACTGCCAACTTATAATATGTTCAGGGTCTTTGGATGCTTGTGCTATGCCAAGAAAGCTAACTCATACAAGAAAAAGTTTGATGAGAGGGCAGTAGCATGTGTGTTTTTGGGGTATGTCTCTGGGGTGAAGGGATATAGATTATATGATTTGGAGTCAAAGGAGGTTTTTGTCTCCAGGGATGTTGCTTTCTATGAGACTAAATTTCCCTTTTCAGATGAGGCAAAAGAAAATAAACTGATTGATGCAAATGTACCTCTACCTGTTGTGACAGACATTCAAGAGACAGTTATAACTGACAGTGCCCCTCCAGACTGTGTTGAAAACACAAGTTTGCAGAACTTAGAAACATGCTCTAATCCAACTGTGGAAGGGAACAAAAGAGTAAGAAAGAAACCTGGTTGGATGAATGATTTTGTGATGGATTTCACATCAGATGATGAGAATAAAGAGACAACCTTGTTTCTCACTAAGGTTGATGACTCAGTTTCAGAACCTGTGAATTATGAGCAGGCTGTTCAAGATCAAAGATGGGTAGAAGCCATGAATAAAGAGCTGAGAGCACTTGAGGTTAATCACACTTGGGAACTCACACAGTTGCCAGTTGGGAAAAAGGCTATTGGTTCAAGATGGGTATACAAGGTTAAAAGAAATTCTTATGGGAGTATTGACAAGTTCAAGGCTAGATTGGTAGCCAAAGGTTATCTTCAAAAGGATGGAATTGACTTTTTTGATAGTTTTTCCCGAGTTGCAAAGATGGTTTTAGTAAGAATGCTTATTGCAATAGCAACACAATACAAATGGGAGTTACACCACATAGACATCAACAATACTTTTCTTCATGGTTTTTTAGAGGAAGAAGTATATATGGTGCCACCAAAGGGTTATGATAAAGCCAGAAAGGGAGAAGTTTGTTTGCTTCAGAGAAGCTTATATGGCTTGAAACAAGCCTCCAGACAGTGGAATATTGAATTCTCAGAAAAACTGCTTAGTTATGGTTTTGTGCAGTCCTCTCATGATCATTGCTTGTTTATCAAGCATACAGGTTCTCATACTCTTGCCTTGCTGATTTATGTTGATGATGTTCTTATAACTGGAGATTCTCTTGTTGAAATTCAGAATCTCAATTCCTATCTTCATAATCTGTTCACTATTAAAGACTTAGGTCAAGCAAAATATTTTTTGGGCCTTGAGATTTACAGCACAAACAAATGAACCTTTTTAACTCAGAGAAGATATATTCTTGACATTGTGCATAACCTTGGTTTGGATGACTGCAAGACTGCTATGACTCCATTGCCACCAGGACTAAATTTGTCTTCTCAAGATTCTCCTATCCTCTCAAACTCTTCCATTTACAGGAGGCTTATTGGGAGATTGTTGTATCTCAATTTGTCAAGAGCAGACATATCTTATGGTGTTCAGCAATTAAGCCAATTTGTGCAGTCACCAACACAAGCACCTTGGAATGCTGCTGTTCATTTGCTCAAGTATTTGAATGGCACCTCCACTTTGGGACTTTTTTATGCAGCCACCCCTTCTACTCAGTTAGAAGCCTTTTGTGATTCAGATTGGGGGAGTTGTGCTTTGACAAGGAAGTCCCTTACAGGCTACTGCATTTTTCTTGGACAAGCATTAGTTTCTTGGAAAACTAAGAAACAAAAGACTGTCTCTAGATCTTCTGCAGAGGCAGAGTACAGGTCCATGGCTAGCACTGCTTGTGAGCTTCAGTGACTGTCTTATTTGGGAACAGATCTCTTCTTATCCTTGCAATCTCCGATTTCTTTATGGTGTGATAACAAGGCAGCCCTTCATATAGCTGCCAACCCGGTTTTTCATGAGAGAACAAAGCCCCTTGATATAGATTGTCATGTGGTGCGCAATTTGTACAAAGCAGGTTTCCTCTTTCCTCGTCACTTGGCATCTTCTCTTCAGCCAGCGGATATGTTCACCAAATCTCTTGGCCGTGCAGATTTTCATCGTTTTATTTGCAAGTTGGGAATGTGCATTAATCCCCACATTCCCACTTGAGGGGGGGAGGGGGTGTTGACATGCATGCAGTGACCGGTTTTATTTCATGCAGACCGGTTCTCTTCCTTTATTGTTTTTCGGTTCTTTTGTGTTGATGAGAAAAACGTAGAACACTTATATAATCGTGTAGCGTTTCTTTTATTTGGATGATGTTTTAGTTTTTCTTTTATTTTCCCTCGCACGTGTCAAGTGATGTGAGGTGAGTTTAGCTGAGGGTTTTCTTATGGTCTGTAATCGTCTTCTTCTTTTGGATCTGAACTTGTAAGCTTTGAGCTAAGAAAAATGGTGGTTTGAGAAATTTATTTGCCGTCGTTTACTTTATACATTTCAGATATTTTGATTTCTACACATTGTGCTGTATTATTTACTTTTTTGTGTGTGTATGTGTGTGTGTGTGTGTGTGGAATAAGTGTCATTTTTTTTCTTCATAATAACATAAGCTAATAGCTTGTAAGTATCATATTTCACGAAAAAAGAAAATATAGATAAGTAGGAGAAAATAGCGCCCTCATATTCAATTTAATGCTAAAAAAAAAATCAATTTAATGCTTAGCCATAATTATTTAGTTGTTAAAATATTATTTATATTAATATAAACAAGCAAAAGTAATCGATTAATCTAGGCTATGTTTGATAAATTTAGCCGATAAATGAGTTTATAAGCTAGTTTATAATTTTTAAGTGAATTTTGAGCTTATAGTTAATAGCTTATAACATATGGTTGGAAAGCTAGCTTAATCAAATAAGTGATAAATTAATTTATATGCTTATCAAACACAACTCTAGGCTCTAGATGTAAACGGGCCAAATTTTAATTTAATGCTTTGTTTGGTAAAACTAGTTGATTAGCTAGCATATAGCTTATCGGTAATTTTTGTAGCTTATAACTTATGACTTATAAAAAAAATATAACTTATATGATAAAAGTGTTTGTAAAATTAGTTGATGAGTTATCTGAAATAAAAATTTCAAAGATCAAATAAGCTCGAGAATTTATTTAAATACAGTAAACTTATAAGTTAATCAAATAAGATATAAAGTTGTATATTAACCTACAAAGTACAAAACATAGCCTAGCCAAATGAGAGAGGACGGAGCCCTTTGTTTTTGGACTAAATGGGTTGACCACCTTGACTCGAGCTTTTGTCATTTATAAGAAAAAAGAGAAATAAAAAATATATATTTATGACGTCAGTATGCGTTCAAATATCGAAATGAAATTTTCTCAATAATTAATAAATTACAGTTCAAAATCAATTTTCTGTCATCTGTGTTTCGAGCTCGATAAATATATACAACACTCCGACCTCGACCTCCCGTCTTCCCTCCCGCCGGCTTACCGTCGGGACTTTCCGGCAAGCTCACAACGTATATGTCACTTTTTTCTGTTTTATTTTTCTCTTTCAATCTCTTCTTTACTGTTCGCCGTATCTCTCGAGATTTTTCCAGTTGTAATGAATCAATAAACAATGTCTGATTGCTTCACTTCTTTAGTTTCAAGCAATTGGTTTGCATTTAGTTGCGAATTTCATGAAATGAAACT